GCCTAACCGCAAGGCAGCGGTGTTTGGCGGGAAATGCAAATGCATTACCATTTCTACGGAACAAGTCGCCACATGTTCCAACCCCCAACCTGGAGGGCCAGGAGACTGTGTTCGTCAGACCTCTAACCATCGACCAACCTGGTATGAGGGACTCTGTGGGTGCCGCGGGACACTCTCCAGTATAGCTCAATGGATCGCTGAGGTGCGTAAACCGTCACACCGCGGTAAGGTCCAGTCTCTTCGTGACGGCGCCTCAGGTCACATCACACAAGTAACCTATTATGGACCTCAGGTATGCCTGGTATTCTGCCCTCATTTTATTTCCACATTGTAAAACTGGATGGAAAACATACCGGTAAGGTCCAGTCTCTTCGTGACGGCGCCTCACATGAGGTCACACAAGTAACCTATTATGGACCTCAGGTATGCCTGGTATTCTGCCCTCATTTTATTTCCACATTGTAAAACTGGATGGTGTAGAAAACATACTCATCGCAAACAAATTGGTCGAGTAGTTACACAAAAGTTTTGTTTTGCATTTATCGACTAGTTCGAAAACAAATTTGGAATCCACCAAAGAACGGCCCGATCCCATTCGGTGAGCTATGTTTTGTTTCCACGCGCTATCTTTGTTGACTTAACCGAACAAAATCACTCAGATTATTTAAAGTATTCATATATTTTAATTAAGTTGAACAACAAACACAGAAATGGACATTTGTATATAAGACCTATTGGATGTTCAGTACCAAATGACTATTACGGAGGGAAATCAATGCACTTGACAGAGTCGGATGAGGAAAACAAACAGGGCCCAGGCGACGTTCATGTACTTTTACTCTCTGTGTGGACGCCAACCTGACAAACAAAAACAAATAGCTGCTTCTGAACGCGCAGTCTAGGTTTTAGTCCATCATTAGAAGACCGCTCTTTTTAACGCGTAGGGTGGTGAAATTTTACGTTAATTTAACAAATTTTGAATGATGGAACTTTCGGTCGACAACCAATCTTCGATTAAGGTTAGAAGCCCAA